TATATATATTCAATGGTGTACCTTTCTAAAATAATAAATATATATAGAGTTAATATGTATAACAACGTTCGACAGATCTTAAATACCTCGATCTATCATAGCTCTAACATCTGATTTTATTGATGAACGACGAATGTTTCAATAGTATGCATGTCAGAAAGGTATATTAGTTTCATGTCTCCAAAGGTCCTTAAATCGTTTATAATTTTAAATAAAACACTGTTTTAATTATAGTTTTAACATTATTGTAGTTCTTTCTTTAATTTCAGTATTTGATACATTTTACGCAAGATTTTAAAACAAAATATAATTAGTTTTGGAATTTTACAATTACGATCGGTTATTTTTTTTTTCGATTTTCTTTTCTTCTCTTTTTGGATTTTGTCTACTACATATGAGTCTTTTTAGCATTGGCACACGTGAAAAATGCATTTAGAAATTCGCATCTCGTGCTGGAATTTACATATATACGAGCAGGAGGAGCTTAACAATAAAAGGGGAAAAGTTTTCTTTTAAATATGCGGATCTCATATTTAAAAGTTGTTGGGAGCAAAAAGAAAACATCGTATAACATAACAAAGCAACAAATTTGCGCAGTCTACATACATATACATTTAAATATATATTTATTATAATATATATATTTATCGGGGCTGCAGAGGGAAATTTTGACTACGGTTAGTACTTGGCTTGTCTAAGGAAACATATAGACAGAGGACTTAAAAATGTTGGAGTTTTAATATTAAACACTTTAAAAAATAAAATTAAAATATGTATAATACCCTATATTATATAGAGTCGAATTTCTTAGAATTTGAATATATAATATATATTCAGTAGGTAGGTAGAGTTTTTCAGAAGCTGGAATATAATTCGTGTTACTAGGGAGTATAAATTCTTGGAAATACTATATAATTTTAAAAAAGAATATACACAAATATGTTCGTTCTCAGCCTAAGTTTTCCATAGACAAGAAATTCCGAAAGCAATAGCCCCGATATTTATATACACATCTATATGCTTAGTAAAACCTAAATCAATCGAATCTGTACACAAGGCCGCTGTTGTCTACCAGGGCCGCCACATGCTCTCATCGATGACCTGCTGGCCAGCGCCAACGCCACCGCCAGCGCCGCCGGCGCCCACCTGTTGTGCCCGATACTCTTCCTCCTGTCGCATGCGCAGCGCCTGCCTTGCAGCGCTGCTTGTCTGCGGACTGGCGTCGAGGGTTTCGTTCTCATTGGAGCCGATGCCGCTCTCAGAGCGTGGCGACGACTGCTGTGTGGCCGGCGCCGACTTTAGGTCAGAGACACCAGAGCTCACCGAAGCGGCGGCCGAGGAGGACGCCACCGAGGCGGGTCGTTCGCTTAGCATGGCCGTGGCAGCCGCTGCCGCCGCCACATTTGTGTTGTTGGCCATGCTGTTGGCATAGGCGGCAGCTGCAGCGGCCGCCACATGTGCCGCCTCCAAGCTGCCCGCGAAATTCGGACTCAATTTGCCAGCCAGATGCGGTTGCATGCGCTGCAGCTCAATCAGACGCTCGAAGTCCGTACGCGTGGCAATGGGATCCACCATGGGCTGGGCGCTCAAGCCGAGGGCAGCTGCGAGCTGCACATAATGCGGCGGCAGCACCAGAACACCATTCGGTGCAGCAGCGCTGCCCTCCACCTGAGTGTGGGCCTTGAGCTGTTGCTTGTACTGCTCCAGCACGTTGGCACAGACAACCTTATTGACGTCCTGCTCGTAGCCCAGCTCAATGACTGCGCCGCTTGGCGGCGACTGTTGCTGTTGCTGCTGTTGGTGTTGCTGTTGTTGCTGTTGCTGCAGCTGCAATTGTTGCTGCTGCTGCTGTTGCATTGGCAGCTGTGTTGGCAGCTGCGTCTGCACTGGCGGCGCCTGTTGGCCCCGATTGTTGTTCTCATCCTGCTGCGTTGCACGCTGATCACCTAGCATGGGATTCTCGCCCAGCTTTAGACCTTTGCTGTAGTCCAAGGGATTCGAGTCCTGGCTGCTGTAGTCCAGCGAATGCTCCTCCCCTGGCTGTGCCGGCGTCTTCTTAATGTCAAAGCATGTGCTGCTGCTATTGGGACTCTCCGCGAATGCGGCGGTCGCTGAGTGCGGGCATATCTCGACATCGATCTCGGCTATGCATTGATCCAAATGTCGCAACAGACGCGCCTTGGAGCCCGGCTCCGCCAGCGTTGGCATATTACCCATGGGTGGCGGTTCCGGTGTGGCCAAATAACGGGCCACCTCTCGAGCACAGTCCGTATAGCCGGCGCGGTATTTGTTCACAGCTGCTGGCGGGCGAAGGCAAAAGTTTTAAAGTTTAAACCATGGCCAAAACCAGTGGCTAGCATTCACACCTACCTGGATCATCCAGATTGCGGTGCCGCTGAAAATGGCGAACCGTAAGCTCCAGTATGTCTGCCTTCTCCAATTTAGTATGCTTGGCCTGGCCATCACCATTCTTGGCATTCTGATGCTTGGTGGACTCCAAGATGAGGGCCTTCAATATGGCCAGGCTCTGATTGATGCGGGCACGTCGACGTTTTTCCATGAGTGGTTTATTCGTACGTTTGCTAATGTCCTGCGACGAGGTTACATTTTGTGAGGAGCTCACCAGACCGATCGATTTGATGCCGCTGCCATTGGTTGAACTGGACGCGGAGAATCCGAGGCCTACGGCAAAGTAAAAAAAAATTTTGGGGTAAGCCTTTTTTAATATTTTATTTAGGATTAGTTGTTTTTTATGCGAACTCATTAAATACTTTGTTTAAAGTACGAAAATTTGTATAGCTTATACAATTCGAATTTCCGTATGGCCTCTTTTTTCATAAAATAAAAAT